TGTATGTATGTATGTATGTATGTATGTATGTATGTATGTATGTATGTATGTATGTATATATATATAAGCGATAGTTCATACCATGTATGCAAATATACACAGACACATGTCATAATGAAGAACTGTTGTCTGAATAAGAATTCCAGGAAATCGAAAAATTATGTCGGACAATAAACAAACTTTATCAGCAGCACTCCCTGGTAGAACCGTCTTAACGACCACTCCAGTTGAGGCACCACCGACTATACCGATGCCTAGGCCAAAGCCGGGAACATTTGGAAGATGGACAATTTGTACTTCGGTCCAGTCACCTGACAACTGCAAAAATAACATTGTTAACACTGCGAGCCTGCCCCACCTCCTCCCTCTTTTTCAGTTATTTGTTTTTCTCCCATTTCTTTTCTCACATTACAATTTCAAATATTCATGAGTCTCAAAAACTTTTTGCGCCTTTCAAAATATCCCGAAACACCACATAGTTCTTGATTCAACACTTGTCTGTTTTCATACCTACATCACTTCATTCTCCATGCCTCCCTTCCCTCGTTCTCCCCTCGCTCACTCCACTTTCTCTTGCAAATCAATAAAAGCCCTTCTTTGTTTACTATCTGATCATTGTGATCCTCGCAACTCCTTCTCCCCTCTCTTCTTGCTTTCCTACAAATAAGGAAAACTTTTAAAAAAGAGAAATCTGCTAGCTCTGCTATCGCTTTCAAACGAATATCTCCTGAAAACATACCCCTGCTCAAAAAAAAAAAAAAAAAAACGGATCAAAGCGCTCAGCTTCTTGTTGCTTGCCATTTCCTCATTTTCAGTCACAAAAGTCTGAAGCCGCGAAAAAGTTTCTAGATTTATGTAGGATTAGCAAATTAGAAACCATTTTTGAAACGAAAGAAGTATCGACAATTTCAGGAACTATGAAAAGAACAAATTTTGTTGTCAGTTCGACACAATAAAAATAAAGCTGTTGCTCTTATGCAAAAAGTCGAGGATTGTTCTTATTTTTTCTGCGTTTCTATCATTTTTTCGATGGTAAATTGGTAGGGCATGCTCACAAGACAATCGTAACACAGCTTTTAGCTTGCTTCTAAGCAGCTCAGGACGAGGAATTTATCGACAACTTTTTCCGCGACTGCTGTTGGTGCATGCTCTCATTCGAATTATTTTCGAATACTTCCATTCTTAATAACAGCTGCATGGCGACTGAGATTTTTTGACTATGTTGAAAATTTCATCAAAGATTTTTGAATATCGCACAGAGACGGTCATTATTTACCGCCAACTTCAGAAAGAACAGTGGAAGCGTTTTTCCGAGCGTGGGTTGAATGGAATTGTTAAAAGCAAGGATGCATACAAAGGACAAGTCTCGGATACGAGAAAATGAGAGGGATATTTTACGATAGGATTAGAAAGATTAGTTTGCTGTGTGCTCCAAAGAAAATCGCTTTCAGGCCAGACCGGCCCGCAGGCTGGTTAACTGAAAACATCTGAGTATTGCCACGAGGTGCAGCAAACAGTGATGAAGCTTAAAGTGCACGAGTGATGCAAGATAGAAACAAAAAGTTCAGGAATGAAAGACGAGTGCGGTAAAGCGTTAAAAAGCGTAAAAATTTATAATTCGAAAAAGTACAACTCTGTGGGAAAAGAATACTTGAAGATGAGATCGAAATCCCTAATCTGCTGCGTCTCGGGAATAATCCATGCAAACTTCGTACACGTGGAGTTTGCTCCAGTGATTGAAGAAGCGGGAATCATGTAAACATACACTTAAACACAAACACATAGCCTTACTGCAATTTTTGCAAGGAAAACTACAAAAGCAGTCCAATTTTACATCATTCATTTTTAAATTGGTCTTTCTGCCGGAATACTTTGAAGGATTGGAATGCAAAAATTCAGCTTTTTACTTCTGAAAAACGGAAAGTGGGTTTTGAAGACTTATCAGATGCATGAGTCAAAATCTTCTTCATATTTTACTTTCTGTGAGTGACAGAAAACTAAAAATTCTCCAAATCAACAGTAATGAGAAAATGGCACTGCAACATATGGCCTTCTTTCTTTACCGATTGCCTAAAAGCAAACCTAGTGGCTTTTTTGGCTCTCCGATAAGCGTCGGTGCTAATCCACCATTCAAATGAATTAGTGAATCACGAAGAGACAGACTTCCCCGCTCGTACAATGGAAACATGGATTGGAATGAAAGTGACACTTCTTGTAAGACCAGCATAGATGCTCCACAACTTAGAGGGATCCGCGATAAGAAATCATTAGCAAAACATGGATATTGGTTATGAAGCCTTAGATGTTGCTAAAGATAAGAAATTATCGAACTAAGAAGTTCAAGAATACATTTGTTGCCCGTTCTATGAAAAGCACTTTGTAGGCCCACTGCTTATTCCATACGAGAATTTCACTGCTCCCCAAAAAAAGTTTCGCTAATTTTTCAACACTGATTTCATTAATTGCCGTTAATTAGCTTTAAGTGAAAATACGCGCCTTCAGGGTCAGAAGACCAGGCGTAGCTCCGCCAATTTTAAAAGCATACCAGTAACGTCAACAGAATAGGGTATTCACATTGGCAATTCGGGCGTTCTTAATATTAATGGTAATCTGTACTAAGCTTGTCAGCACCAATTTACCATGCCGTTCAACAACAAGCTTTCTCACCGGCAATTACATCTGCTTGCTTTAATCCGTGTAGTTAAGTAAATCAGCGGTTTTAACTAAGTTACTGGCTTACAATGAAAACTCTGGTTACGAATTACTAGACTTGCCACTGTACTACGGAGCTGTAACTGCAATGTTGCGATTTGATCACTTGATGCGCCTTTACGCTGGGCCCGTGCCTAGACAGAGGCTTTTCTTACTTAGTAGCCAGCACATGAACAGCAAGCATCCTCAAAAAAATACTGTTTTTTGTTCATTCTCCGGAACTTAATATTCACTTAAGCGTATGCGAAATCTGGGCGTGCTCTATGGCTTAAACTCAAATATTTCGGTCGCACATGGGCACAGAATATCCCCGTGAAGTTTCAGCTCTCTAACGTACGTGTCACGCAAAATTTTTAAAATCCGGAACTCGCGAAACAGACGTATGCCAAAGCTCGTTTTATGTATACATGCCTCTATGAGGAACAAATATCCTAGCAAAGTTAAACCGCTCTAATTAACTTAGATTGGCGTTTTGCTGACAACTGCGGAATCTTAACTTCTACGTGTCTGTACCACGAGTTGTATGCTTGCTTTATAGCTGAATTTGAAATGTTTAGCTCAGATAAGCATATGGAATATCCCTGTGGAATTTCATTTTTCTACTTTTCCTAGTTCACGATATTGCTTTTACACCAAAAAATTTACATATTTTTTAGGCGCCCGTACGTGAGTTCCAAATGTACGCGAATGATAATTAAAATGGGAGGATCGTGCATGGGATGGGTACATGCTTCCGAAGCTTTATCTGCTTAACTTCCTAGGACCCGAGTTGAAAATATGTGACAAAAAGTGCGAACACACAGACACACACGCGTGCACACGTACAGACACGCACACATACAAAGACAATCTCTTTTTTATGCTTTTTTGCATTTACATAATATGCAAAAACGCATAAAAAAGAAAATCGTTGATAGCAAAATTCTATGAGAACCTGAAGGAATTCTTTCCGAGAACATGGAGAGAATGAAGATTATTAAAACGTACGACCATATGAGGCGACTGACGAAGCAGTGTGAAAATGATGTATGTTGCTGATCCGGGATGCTCCGGTGCTGGTGCTGTCGGCGCTGCTGCTGCTGCTATTCCTGTCGAAGCTTCTTCAAGTTTTACCAATTTCTTGTAACAGCGAATGAGCGAAATCCCGGAGCTGGTCGGCCGATAATGATGAACACTAGCCTCACTAACTCCATCCTGGATGATGTCAGCTGGGGATCCCGCTCGGATCGAGTACTCTTTAATTGCTTCTCTCTGCTCGTTCGCTTCAACACATTTCGTTTCCGCACTTGTCGACAAGCTGGACTCATTCGCTGCTACTTCTTCCTCTTGCCTGGACTTTTTATCAGCTTCTAACGACTGTCTCCAGCGTTGCTGATGATCAAGTTTCCATGAATTTTCGACTACAGCACCTATCCTATCGTTATGCACCTAAAAAAAAAAGAAAGTCACTCAATATAGTTCACTTCATTATGTGTTTTTGCGTGCATGCAAATGCAACCCAGGCTGGAACGCATCAGGTTTGTTGGTGTGATCATGAATTTTTGCGCTAAACTCACAGGCCGCTAATAGCAGGAATGAGCTGCAGCCTAACACTTGGGCTCATATTGGCCGTGCTTTGGCCCCTTCTGGCATGCAGGAGAAACGGCATCGGTTGGGATGAAGGTGGAGCATTATAGAGCCGCTTGGACGTGCAGGTACATGATAACCAGTATTCTGCATAAAGCCCGGTCGTTTTTCGGTGAATGCTAGCTTTTTGAAAAAATGAAAAATGCAAATTTCCAGTTCACTAAAAAGTGTAGGCTTTGCTAGAGCAGTCGTTTATCAAAAAATCCAAGTATGCAAATGAACTGAATGTTCATTTACATATTTGGAGGGATGAGGTCTGTCGTTCGCTGCAAAACGAGTTGATTATTTCTCACGTCCTCCTGCAGGGAAGTTCATCTCCAAACAGAATTAAGACCGCACTTGAAAGTAGAATATTCCAGCTAATTTTCGGCCTCGCATTATCCGGTAAGCGAAATATCCGCTTCTGTACAAATGTTTTTGAAATGCCCTAAGTTGTGGCGCAAGTGCAAATTGGTATGCATTTTGGGTATACTATTTCCCATAGGGAAAAACATTCCCATAGGGGCAACAAACATGCTGACAAAATTTCAGTCACTGTTTTCTAGCAAGTTTTCGAGTTAGCACAGTACGTAGTGCACAAACATGCGCGACAGCTAAATTTGAAATCCTTAGATCTTACAAAGTGTCAGCTTTGTACCTTGCCAGGTTCACAAAATCAGTTCATGCCACAGAAATCTGCATATTTTTTTTTTGGTGGGGGG